AGCTTCTCAATTTGTTTCAGTTAACATGCTTTTGCTTGAATGAACACTTTTTTGTGTACACTGATGACAACTGTCGACCAGCTTAGTTATAAACCTACCGAATTCATTTTATGACGGTGGGAGGATAAAGTTTTAAAATTGAATACTGGCATCGAGGCGGTTTACCTTATTCCCGTTGTAACAAAATCTAAGACTCAATAATAATACTTTTTTATCTGAATTTATCTAAGGAAACACTACATAAATCAATGACATTTCGACAAGGGTCTAAAGATTAATCCTCTTAAAGATTTTGACTTCCTGAAAATCTGATAAGTTTCATCTCCAATATCTCAGGTGTGACATAGATGAGATCATTTGAAATTGAAATGAGACTGTATAGGCAGTACGTTAGCCAGTTAAAGTGATGCCATAAGATTAAACTTGAATAGGGTTATTCAAATGAAGTTTTATGGTTGACTCAAGGCTAAATGAATGAAATAGCAATGCAAGTATTACCAGAACTGCTCACCGACCGATAAAAAGACTACATAAATTCTGGATCCCATGAATTACTTATGTCTTATTTCGCACAAACTCACAGACTTGCAGGCGGAAACCAAGAAACTATTTGAAGATGCAGGAGATGTAGACAGAACATAAATTGAACATAAATCGGGTGGAAGTTGTGTAGGTACTCATGTATCACTAACAACGGCCAGTATAAATCACCGTTGAAGGGAATCATTTGACACAGGCTACTTCCTTCTCTAATATAGGTAGCATCGTTTCAACTACAGCTGTTGTAACGTCTGGTACACATTCATGAGTATGAAAGCAGTTCAGGAATCGTCTATACTCAGCCAACAGTGACAACAAGATTAGCATTTTCACCTCAAATGTAAACTCGATCAGTCACTTGTTCAATGCAGATTAGCACCATGCCAACAGGAGGCATTTCCAATAGCTACTGCACAAGTTTATTAACAACTGCCTTCGAAAGCAGCATACTGACGACCAAATGGCCACTCAGAAACAATTAGCAACAAGAACCTATCTATTCAGTGGAACATACCAACGGACGAGATCGAACTGCTCAAGAAATGATGCAGAACGTAATGGAGGTGCATTGGTCATTCGATGAGGACACCGTGACTTAGCTGCTGGTGGCAATTGTTTTAATTCAATTCACACTTTTGATGACTTGTAATCACAAATACTTATGGGGTTCATTTTCTGTTCATGCATTTTGTGTTTTCAGGTTGTTGACAGTTGTGTTGAGTCCTCCATGTTACACGTATTTGACGTAAAGTTAATGTATGCAGACTCCATTGCTACTACTCTTTCTTTCCATGTGCTCATCTTGGAATTCCGAATAGCAATATTGTCTCAATCAATATTTTGGCTGATATCCCATATATGTGAAGCTACGGGCTAATATCTTTCCCAATCACTGCACGCTTTTGTACTGTACTGTTTGATGACATTTAGTTAAACGTTTATGTGATTCGTTCACGCTTATTTTGTGTGATGATCTTTGAATTAGGCCTCTAGTGTATTACTTTTCTACGGTATTGTGATTGTTTCTTGCTCACCATCTTTTTGTCATTCGCTGTGAAAAATTCTCTGATAAATTATTTTAGGTGATAATCTTCAAGTAACATTTTGAAGCAGACAATTCAGAGCTTTTCTGCTGCCATCTGTTATTCTTTGTACTTTGCAGGAGAACATAGACAGTTCCCTAATTTCATTCTCTATTTCTGTTGTGAATAGTAAGTATTGTGTCTGCGTGACTGTTGATGCGTGAAAAATGTTTCTCAACATCTTTCTTTTTCCAATTTATTTACTGACCAGTCATCTACATATCTATCTTCACCAACATTCTATGTATGTATGATATGTATGGTTTGAGTGAATTGCCTTCGTTAAAATCCCTCCATATGTCACCCGTTATTGGTCAAAAGCGCGACCCTCTGAATACCCTTTCATTTTGTTGGTACAATTTTCCTTGAAATGTTAAATATGTTGCTGGTAGACAGAGTTCAACACCATTTGATCATATCTTCTATGGATAGTTGCGTCTGGCCTTTTGCGTACGTCATCTTTGTTCAATCTTGTTTTCAATGCAGTCATGACTATTTGATATTCGGCAGCTTCACAGCATATTTTATGAATGGCCCAGAAGCAAGTAGAATCTTCAGAACCCAGTCATGTTGAGAACAAAAGACAAAGTTCCTCTACTAGGAAACATATTATAGAAACAGGGCGTAAAATAATGTTTACACATATTCTAAGCTTTTCTTTAGGACGATTTTGAGGCGTATCCTAAAGTCTTTGGAGGCCCTAGCTTGCAATTAGTAAGTTTCAGCCAACTTTGTGCGTTCAAACCAACAACCTGGTATCACACTTAACCTTTCTTGGTAAATATCGTTTAGATACCAGCCAGGGTAGATGTACCATTACCCTTCATATTTCGTCCGTGATCTTCACTGTTATTTTCACCTTCAATATGGCGGCTGTTTAACTTGCCCTATATTTATCTTCCCACCTATTACATCTTTATTAATTTCATGTATATACATTCCTATGACAAGTCTGTGTGTGTGTGTGATCAGATTGTTCGAAATGTGCTGCGCAAATACAACATTATACGATTCAGATAAATTACGTCTTCTTATTGCTTTGTCTAACAAAATTCATTAAAGAAACACTTTTTGTTCTAAATATATAAAAGGAATAACAGACTCAATATGATTGCTGAATATTCGAATCTTCTTCTTTACGCTGATGACAACAGCAGATTTCCACATTAATTTCTAAGTAATGTAGATATGTCTTGTTTTTCTCATGCAAGCTGGTTCTCTTGGACATCCTCAGTCACGTGGTCTGTAGTAAGGACGATGTTGCCTTGGTGACTAGCCCAGTTATTCAAGCAGGAATTGCGCTAGAAAATGAGCACACTTCAAATTCAAGGGGCCTTTTCAATTTCCCGTCGAATTTATTGGTCAACCCTCCTGGTAATCTGGTTGCCTTATATCTTTTTTCCTACGCTCCAGTCTTTTTGTAGTGGAGATGATTGCTCCCTTGACACGAATTTTCGTGCAAGAGATTTCATTTTTATGGATTGTTAAGTCTTGTTTATGTCACTGGAATACCAGGCTTTCAAATAACGCCAGGGAACTTTTGAGAAACATTCACAGATATAACCAGTCACGTTCAAATTTACCATTTCATGATTATTATTCCCTTACCTTCCGAGTTGAACATTTTCACTATGTTCTATTTTCTGCTGTCCTCTTCAGATGGATCTTTGATTGCCAAAAATCTCTCAACTCAGTAACCTTCGGAATGAAGCTAAACTCATCGTTTCCTCATCGGAATTCCACTCGAACGATGGCGTGTTGCTCAGTGTCACTGGACGCCCACCTTAATGTTGAACGGATGATTCTTGGTCAGAGTGTTCCCAGATTTTTCGGCTGCTAATTTTTTCTGACCATCAGATCAGCAGTATGGAGCCAGTGAACGCAACTGTTGATAACAGTCTGCAGTAGCCTATTGCACATGCCACCTTTCTAATTCATAAATATCAACTGATCTACTCGCTAACCAAATGTGCTGAAAACCCTAGTCGTGCCCCTTAGGTTTAGTCAGTGCAGAAGATTTCCAAACTAGTTTCAGGTTGACGATGGTTTATCTCGCCATTCGATATCACTTTGGTGTTGACATTTTCATTTGTTCCGACCGCCTGTGGTTGAAACAATGGTCACTGCCTGAAGAAGTGAAGAAAGTCATCCCTGTCAAATCTCCCCTCGTTGATGGTGATCGGTGTTAGTTGTTGTTGCTGTTATCTAGTTATCTTCATAACCACCGCCATCTGGAGTCCCATCTTCGCTGCCTGCTTCTTAAGTCAGTTTCTTCCTTTCCGCCTGTATTTCTTCGAATTTTTGAGGCATTAGACGTACATCACCTGCGAATTCCAGATCTTCTGAAGTCTTCTTATTGGTCAAGCATAATCCTCTTTTATCATTCCATGGAGTCTTCGACTTCACCCAGTGAACTACAACAAAAAATATCATCGTTGATAATAGGCAGACCTTAATTACTTCTTCACTCATTTCAAACGCTTCTCCGACTTTCCCTTTGTGGATAGCTTGACACATGCCATTCCGATATGTCTATTGAATGAACCTGACAAAGTCTTGAGCATTTCACGCCAAAGCGTTGAAACAGTTTTCCAATTTCTTCAAAGCCAACGCTGTCACAGGCCTTTTCGGAGTCGATAAATTTGAGGCAGATACTGAACTATCATTCCCTATTCTGTTCGATGGTGATACGCAGAGTCGCAACATAGTCAGCACATGATTAAACATTCCTGAATCAAGCGACCTCCGGGCGGTTGGAGTTTGTATCCAGTGCATCCTTTATTATCTTCAGAACGACGTCACTTAATATTTTTCTTGGCGTCGACAAGTGCATCATTCCACGCTAGTTCTCGCAGAGATATGATTAAGTCACCCTTCTATGGTAGCTTCAAAAAGTTACCTATTATTCAGTCAGAAAGCACCTTTCCCTACTTCCAAACCTTTTGTAATGATGGCGTCAGAATATCCACTGCAGTCTCTGTATCCGTTTTCAGTGCTTCGTGGAAAAATTCTATCTGGTCCTGCTAAGCTAATCACCTGTGGTGATTAATAAAATCGCAAAAAGAAATTCAACAGCACACTTCAAATTGAAGTATGCATTCAGGAGGATGTTGTCTGATAGGGCAATGAAAGGTTTGCAAGCATATCATCCAGCTTAGAGAACACAACTACAGCAAAATCATTCACCTCTAATATAAATCGTTTCCATTACATCACGGTATCCCGTTACAAGAATATTACTTCGATACAACCCACCAATGAATTCTCATTATGTCACTGATTGAGAACCAAACTCTGCGATAACACATCAGTTTAACAAAGTGAAAATCACAAGGTAAGCGTTCATGTACAAATAAATACACAATATATTTATATATACTCCCAGGTTATACTCATTCAAATTCACGCAGAATATACAATATATTATAATAAGAATATTCTAGGAATATTTTCTTTACAACGTTTCGTCTATATCACCGCCCACTGACATCATTCATGATTACCGGTTGTGTAATACATGAACAACAATACAGTCTTGGAATTCTCTTCATCTCATTCCCAGTACCATGTTCATAGGTTTTTTGATTCCCCTGAATGTCAATATCATCTTTGTCAGTGTTTAAAGTGTCATTCACTTTAATGTCATTATTATTATTAATAGTAGTAGTAGTATTATGATTATCATGATTACTATTTGAAGAATTCATTAATTTTATTGATGGATTTTGAAAATTTGAATTTTGCGCCTTGAAGCTTATTTTAAACAAATGTTGAATTTTCAATGTTTGAATGTAATACCTGAAAAAGTATTGAATAACATGTCGAAATTTTACTGAATTGAAGAATAATATCGGCAGTGTAAGCATAAAACGTTGACTAGCCCATATTCTTAATAAACCAGTGGTTAAATGGTATGAACACATTCGCTCCATTGATTCTGTGAGTCCTTTACTACTGTGCAATACATTCTGGAGTAGTAGAGTATTGTTCATAGGAATATTCATATTTATATTGTTACTGTTATTATTATTAATACTATTGTTAATAATATCATTCTCCCTGGTCTTTGCACTGTCCATAAAAGTGGTAATATTACCGTTGAATATGAAATTTGGCTCGAAATGGTTTGTAATCGGTTGGAAAATATTACTCATTATAAATTCCATGTAGAACCATTCTATAATTTCTGCAAATTCAAAAGCAAAATTTATAATTCCCAAGTATATAACTAGTTGTGTTGGTTCCGTGAACAAAGAATGGTAGAGTTTCTTTCTCTGAGGTTTAATGGGTGTCCTTCGAGTTGTTGTTGTTGTTGCTGTTGGGGTCGATGTAGTAGTTTGGTCAACTTCTCGTGAGGTGAGCATAGTTGGTGTTCTTAGCACTCTTGACTGTGGCATATTTGTCAGCGCTGTCTTCAGAATATGACCTTTTCTCAATGCTGTATAGCCAAGAAGCACATAAGAAATGAATATCAATATATGAGGTAGGATTGAATGACATATCTACAAAAGAGGGGAGAACGTGACAAAGATTAGAGTGATTGTTAAAATAAAATGACAGGATTAGGGTAAGATATGTTGATTTCTGAATGAGAGAAGTTTTATAATCCTATCACCAGTCGTAACAACACAGCTTCAAAACTTGCGTGGTGTGGTTCCTTCTTGTCTTCTGTACCGATTGTCGACAGGGTAGGAGGATATTATGGAAATCTACAACAGGTGTCTAGTCATTAATACTATACCAACATATAAAACTTGAGTTATCAATCCCTCCCTTTAACAGCTGATGGTAGGTTTCGAGACTGTTATCTTATCCTATCCTATTCTACAGTTGTATGAAATCGTATGTAGTACCGAAATACGAAATTGACGCGTTGGTCCTCTTTTTTCAGCATGTGGTACAGTCTACGAACCTGTAGAGGTTACAGTTTATTGGCTGGTCGTTGGATTGAGTCACTGTTGCCGATTCATCTACCACTTAGACTTGTGACCCAGTGGACATGGGTTCTATGTCCGATGGATACATACTGCCGCTGTCATTCTCTTAATAACGTCAATCCGTCATGAAACGTGTAGCAAATAAAATGCCTAGACATTGACTCATGAAAATTAGTCTGATTGTCACCAGTCCCTAATCGCCTGGCATCATAGTGAAGCTGAATTCAGCGACGTCCAGTAAAGATATGTGACCAGTAGGGTTCAACATGTCAGAACTGAGGTGAAATACTCGCCTATATTGACACTGGCCAGTCACACTGAAACCTCAAAATAGCAGAAGTTAGAATGTATTGGCTAGTCTTAGAATCTATTTTGTTATTGGTTGAATTGTCTGTGATCTTACCTTGTAACTGGAAGCTTATAGGTTCAAAACCATGCGATGGATGCGTGCCCACTTTCAATGAGTCCAAGACTAGGCTGACAAAACAGCTGGCTAATACAGACATTAGGTTTTCAGTACCCCTCTAGCTGATATCAATCCATGGTCAAACTTGACGTATATTATAAATTTTTCTCACCAGTAAGAGTATCAGTTGAGAAAAGATAATAATGTTATGGTAGTGAGGATTACTTAGCGAAACCAAAATTAGGTTATCGACAAATTTGATCATAATTTCAACTATGTTTCATGGGAGAAATCATGTGAAGATTGAATGAAAGCATCCAGGTAGTTATGTAGGAGTCGCTATTCAGCTGAAATAGGATGATGAAATCAAATCAGTTGGGATGGAAATATGCAACAGAGAAGGGATAAATCAACTCTTGAATAAATGGGCATTACTAGCAGTCAGTGCAGGAATACGGAAAGGATACGTGTCTGCCTGCGTATCACTATGAATGATTTTCCTAATTATGGTGCATGAAATTATGATGCACATCAAATTTGGGAAGCGAGAAGACAGGCTTATGCTAGACTGATATGAAGGCTTTCTCAGGTCCGTATTTCGTGGAGTATTTATATGTTTAATGTCTCACAAGCTCAAAGATGCACAGGCGGAAACCAACAAAGTGATTAAAGAAACAAGCAGTGAATGTAGGACTTCAAAAGAACATGAAAAAGAAGGAGATATTCTATATATAACCAACCAATGGCAACAGTCACAAGCAATAATCACTATCGAAAGGGTAAATTTCAAAGCGCTGTTTACTTTAACTTATCTGGCGAGGCATCGTTTCAGCTACAGGCGCAACAGATGAAGATATCAAAACCAGAGCCAGAAAGTTAAGACACATTTTCCTTTCTCTGAAATCACCTTGGAAAGTGTGTGAACCTAATATGAAGAAATAGGCTGGAATCATCAAAAGTAGTGTCAATTCAATTCTTTTTTTATAGGTCAAGAAGTTGGCAAGAGCATCATGAATAGCAGTTTTGACATGTAACTGGAAACTTTAATCAATTTCTACCCTCATTTCATCCTGGCAATCAGGTTCTCTTACTTAGAGAATTAGCAATAAGTAACTGTGAGAACGAGTCCGAATGGAAACATCGAGTTGTATCTGAGTCTAAGATTGATGCGAGGGTGATTGTGCTAGACGAAGATGCCGACAATAGTGGGTCTAGCTGAAGAAGATAGCAGGAAATAGTACAAATGAAGAAGCGCCATTGGAATCCTATATACCCACTACAAACCATAGGAAGACTAATAATAATCATAATTATGGAAGGAATATGCACAAGACAAGAATATATTCCAGAGTCATTTGACTTATCTTTTCATTATTTCCTTACAACTCACTCCAATTTACAAAATGGAGATGTCCTGTGGAAGTTGCATTTTCCTCTCAGAAGCCATAGGAAAACTGGCAAATATAATAACAATGGAACAAATATATACGGGAGAGTGATATAATCCAGGGACAAGTGACTTCTTCTTTTCTTTCCTTCTTTCTTTAAAACTCACTCTTGTTCTTATACACCTCTTCAAATAAAACACGAGAGTATGAGCTGTTTGAAAAGTGAAACGAAATGATTCCTTTCAAGTGTCAACCTACATTAACTTCAATAACACCGTCGAAACAATTCTCTCGCTCGAGAATATGCAACGTCCAGGCAACTCTGAAAAAATCAAACAATTCACACTTCATGTGAAAGTGTACATATGGGAGGAAAACAAGGCCGTTTATTATCACCGATAATATTGTAATTGTGGTGGACTAGATTGTGTGTCAGACTGTGTATTCGATCGAGGAGACAGACACTAGAAGTTCTGAATTTCGTAGACGATATATGCCTAATGTAACATAAACTGGAAGACACACTGGTGAAAAGCAACGAACTGGTTGAAGAGGTGGACACCGGAGACAGGACTCAACGTGAACACACAGAAGACGAAGGTGTTGAAGATAACCAGACAAAAGCAAAACAACAATAACGACCATCACTAACCACATTCAACGGGAGAGAGATACATTGACGGTTACTTACTCCCTTCACTTATCTAGGGAACATCGTTTCAACTACAGATGTCAAAGTCGGACTCGGTGAGGTGAGATATGCATTCATCAACCTGAAATTAATCTATAAATCTTCATCATCGGAGTGTTATCTGATTCTAAGTGTGTGATGTGGAGGAGTTGTACAAGGATTAAAAGGAGAGAGAATATGAGCACTTGTGAGCTCGGTTAGAGAGGACTGCAGGATAAAATTAGGAAGTGTTGTGAGAGACCTATTTTCCTAGTGCAAACCATAAGAAGACCATTAATAAAAAAAACCATGGGAGAAATATGCACTAGACAAGAAAATATTTTAGAGACAATTGAATTCTTTACGTTTTCCTTACAACTCGGTCTAATTGTTAAACACCTCTTCACATAAATCAAAAGTAATAAATGTTAGAAAAAAGAAACAAAAATTTTTCCTTCAAGTGTCAACCTACATTAACTTCAAAAATCGCGTTAAAACACGTGTCCCAATCTAGAATATTCACTGTCTAGACAATTCTGTAAAAAGCAAACATTTCATACTTCATGTAAAAGTGTACGTGTTTATGCTTAAAGGTTGCTTATTTTGGTTGACTTCCTGCCTGTGTCTGAATGGCATTCACTGATGAGAAAGGTGGTTGCTTTCTACTGAGAAGAGACATTCTGTCTTGGATTGATGTCTGTGTGAGTGCATGAATGCACTCTGCCTTGAGAAGCATTCTGATTTCATTTTAGAGAATTTCACGTCTATTATCATTATTATTATCATATCCTTTAATTCCTAGAGGAACATAGGGCTTCAGCTGCGCATCTTCTTTGCCTTCTCTTTCTGCCAACTTTTCACCCGACTCCAAGTCTGCCCACATGCTCTCATCTCCTCTTCACATGACCTCCTCCAAGTCACCCTCACATTGACGACCAACTCGCCGCCTCCGTTTCGAGTTCCACTTGAGCATTGGCTTGTCTAGTGATGCCACTTGATGGTTTCCTCAGAGTATGATCAATCTATCTCCATTTCTCCCCGCCTATTTTTTTAACAATCGGTTCCTGGTTGGCTTGCTCCAAGAGATCTTTGTTGCTGGTCTTTTCTGGTTGGCCATCTGATCTTGAGTATTGAGTGACGACAGTCGTTAATTAAAATCTGTATTTCGTTTGAGGTGCTCTTCGTGATGTGCCAAGTCTCTGATCCTTATAATAGCACTGACTTCTTAATGGAGTAGAAAATCCAGATCTTATTTTTGATGCTGAGTGATGTCGACCTCCACACAGACTTGAGAGTAATGAAAGCTTGCCTTGCTTTCCCGATCCTCGTTTTCATATCCTCATCAGTTCCGTCCGCCTGTAGTTGAAACGATGCTTCCCAGGTAGGTAGGTAGGTAAAGGATCTTGTTTTTTCAGGTTCCTCCCATTTATGTTGGCTGTTGTCTGTTTTTTTTCTTGCTGTTGCTGTTGGTCATGAATCTTCATTACCTCTGTTTTATCTATGTTCCCCTGAACTCTTTCCTATCTGTGATGCTTCTTCTGCCAGCTTGTTGCTTTTCACTTGCATATCTTCCATTTTATGGGAAATCAAACATATATCACCGGCGAAGTCCAGATCCTCCAATGTTTGTGTGGGTTCTTTTTATGCCTGTTTCCTCGCTGCCCACTGTCTGTTGCATTATCCAATCTACTGCAATCAGGAAGATCATTGACGATAGTAGACAGCCTTGCCTTACTCTCGTCTTCACTTCGAAGGCTTCCGTAAGTTTCCCGTTGTGGATTACTCGGTATGCAGCATTGTCGTACATCTGTTGGATGAGATGTATAATTGTCGGCGGCCTTCCGTAGTAGCGAAATAGTTGTCAAATCACCTCTTGATTGACGCTGTCGAAGGCCTTTTCAAAGTCGATGAAGTTGAGATAGAGAGCTGGCTGACTGCCATTTCAAGCTTTGTTCAATGATGATCCGTAGTGTGGCGATTTGATCAATACATGACTTGTTTCCCCTGAATCCAGCTTCTTCCGGTTGAAGTTTTTCATCCGTTTGGCGTATTACCAAATGAGTAAATGATTTCATCTCCTGACATATTTACTCAAGTCCTC